CATTTGATATGAAGGAGAAGTCCAGAAATTGGTGATGGAATAAAAAACTGTGGAGTTAATGATTTCCAAAAAGTTGCTCACAGGTGTGTCTTCATGGAGTCCGGGAGCTGAGAAGGCCCCTAGAGGTCAGTTAGCCCCCTCCTGTCCCTTCCAATCCCCAGTCCTCTTATTTTCCAGGGTCAAATCAAATTTAGCAAGGCTCAAAGTTGTTTGAAAGACCACGGTGATGGTCAGGGTCTTGGTGTAGCAGGTTTAGGAGACCGGGCCCAATGTTTACCTCTACCCCTTAGTTGCCGTGTGAATAAAGACCACTGTTATCTCTTGCCTGGACAAATATCACTTCCTAACTGGAGGTTTAGTCTCCGTCCCTTCTAAACACTGATTAATCATCTTAAATTATTTTTCTAATGTACTGCCAGGGAGTTACTTTCTTGTTTACAAACTCTCAATGATCACTAAATTAAAAAAATGCAAATTTTGTGGCATTCAATGCTTTCTTATGACATGATTCCAACCAACACCCCCCATCCCCCTAACCTGCTGCCTCTCAACCAAGTCTTTTGAACTTATTCCATTTGCACTCTTTGTTCCACTTGTTCTGCCAGGGAAGCTCTCCTGTTCCTCTCTACACTGGTCTCTTTCATGGCTTTCCTAATATTTTCTCACAGCCTGGAATGCTCCTATCACCAATCCTTATCCATCCATCAAGGCAAATTGCATGTTACCTCCTCTGAGGAGTCTTCCCTGAGCATCAGATGGACCTGAGTTTGAGGTCATGCTCTGCCACTTACTTCTTAAAAGACTTCAAGTTGTTACTGAATTTCTTTAGGGCCCAGTTTTCTCATCTGTGAAATGGGTAAGTTAAAACCCATCTTGTAGCCTTGTGAAGTACACATGGGTTAGTCATATTGTGAAGTACTCAGCACAATTACTTATACATGGCAAATAGCAAAGAATGTTACACATTACTGATTTTTCCAGGGACCTGAGGTCTCCTTTTCTTTGAATTACCATTCACCTTGAGCCTCTCTTATATTCTTCCCTGTAAATCTGATTTTGCATGTTGGAACACATGTTTTATTTTCCCCATTGGAATGATAACTCCTTGAAGGTGGGACCATGTTTTATTCTAGTGTCCTTTGCAATGTGCTCTATACAGCAGGCCTCTGAATCACAGGCAAAGGCTGACCTTTCGGGTGTGAAACTGCTAATGAGAATTTGCTTTCCTCTCACTATTTCTTCTAAAAGTTGGTAATATTTTTAAAAAGTTAATTTCCTTAGATATGAGAATCCTAGTTGTTGGGCTTTTGTTTCAGAGAAATATGGGAAGTCAGTTTATGTAGTGGCTTATGGAGATTAATAAATTTTAATTAAATCTTGGGAAACTTGAAGGCCATGTGGTCTGAATTCAATCTCACCATTTTTCAGCACGCATTCCACATTCCATGCATTGTGTGCTACTCCTCAGGAAAAAATGGTTTCATATTCTAATGAGTTTGTGAAACATTAGATTCTAATGACCCACTCATAAAGAGACAGAGGACACATTAAAAAATAAAAACTTGGGAGAACAGATAACTTCCTAGCATATATGATGTTTAAAAAGTTTTGATTGTTAGAGCTCCATATGAAGTTACTGAGATAAATTTGAGCAAATTATTTAACTTTTCTGGGCTACAGTTTTTACAAATTATAAAGATGACAGTAGAATGTGGACACAAGATGGCCACCACAAGATGGCCAGCAGGGGAGGGCAGTTGGGAGGTACAAGGCCTGCAAGGGAGGGAAGTTGGAGGCAATCAAACCTGCAGGGGATGGCAGTTATGGGTGACCAGGCCAGGAGAGGAGGGAAGTTGGGGGCGACCAGGCCTGCAGGGAAGAGGAGTTGGGGAGGGACAAGGCCTGCAGGGAAGGGCAGTTAAGGGTGACTAGGCCTGTAGGGGAGGGAAGTTGGGGCAAACAGGCTGGCAGGGGAGCAGTTAGGCATCAATCAGGCTGGCAGTTAGGGGGTGATCAGGCTGGCAGGCAGAAGTGGTTATGGGCAATGAGGAAGGCAGGCAGGTAAGCAGTTAAGAGCCAGCAGTCCTGGATTGTGAGAGGGATGTCTGACTGCCTGTTTAGGCCTGATCCTAATATCTGACTGCACATTTAGGCCCATTCCTACCGGGCAGTGGACATCCTATAAAGAGTCTCAGATTGGAGAGGGTGCAGGCTGGGCTGAGGGACATGAATTTCATGCACTGGGCCTCTAGTAAATAAATAAAATGTGTGAGAAGTCCTTCAATGAAGAATGCAGCATTTAATAGCTAATAAGAGCTCACATTCATTGAACTCTTATATGCCAGATATTCTGATAGCAGACTCTTTGCATGAATTTCTAATTTAATTCTCAAGATGCCCCTAAAAGAATAGGTAGCAGATGAAGAAACTGATGCTGGAATGGTTCTGAGTGCGCAGGGCAGTTCAAGATGGAGCTGTGCTTGAAGTCGGATGTTTGTGACCCCAGACCTAAGTTTGTTCTACATGGTGCCCAGCTTTCCACATCACACCCTCCTGCCCCTCTCATGATATTTCAACTCTCCTCTAAGGTCTATTCAAAGGCACTTCATGAGAAGCTCTCTATGAGGCCAGCAGGCTGATTTCCATAGCCCCTCTCTATGCTCTTCTCCACTGACTTCCTACAGGGTTGAGTGCCTTCCTTCTCTCTGTCAAGGGCCAAGTTCAGAGCCTTGTTGAAGTTTATGGCACAATGTGGACCCCAGGTGAGGGTGTCTTTTTCCTAGTCTTTCCAGGATATGATTTCTGAGCCTGGTCATGGTTCACAGGTCCTGGTTCACACATCTAGGGTGTGTGGCAGTAGCAGGCAACCTGGGCTGAGGGGTTTAAGCTAAAATCCTCTCCAGTTCAGACCTCATGGCTCCCACACTCCCTGGCACCTCATTGGTTAACACTCTCCTCCCTCTGTCCTCTCTCCCAGCTTTTCCAGGGTGAACAGACATGATTAAGGTGCATGGGGCCTCTGGTCGCTGTCCTTCTGGGGACAACCCTGACCTATCCTTTCCAGGGCGCTGTCCAGGTTTCATCACCAAGCCCCCCAGCGGCTGTGCCTCTGATGAGTCAGCTGGCTTGGGTTTCATTAGCAACTCTAATGGCCTTTTGTTTTCATCCTCATTGGGGCTTCTGAAGGGCCCAGAGGAGGGGCCTGGCGGGTCTGGCTTCCAGAGAGGCCGCCAGCCTCCGGGGGAGCCCAATCCCGGGATGGAAAGTCGGCGCTGGGCTCCCCAGCAGTCACGTCATGCCACACTGTGCTTTGCCTGGCCGCACCCGTCCCCAGGGCGCACTCAGGCGCCACGTAACCGCTGGCCATCCCAGCTCTCCAGCTGCCTGTGATGATGAAGTCATGGGGTGGGGTCCTGGAGACCCCCTCCAAATAGGGTGGGGGCTTCCCCAACTGGCGCTGGGAATGGCCGAGAGGACGAGAAGGAGGAGATGCTGTTACTCCTGAATGTCCAACCCACTGCTGCCTCTCTTGGTGCCGTATGTAGGGCATGGAGAAGACAGTCAAGGGAGATGAGAGAAGATACAGGAAGGAGAAGGACAAGGAACTGACAGGCCCGCGACCCTAAGTCCCTCCATTGCCAATGGCAGATGGGGAAAGGAACTCGGTTTCTTGCTGATGGGACTGCCTTCTCCCTTTTCTACAATAACGGCCTTCTTCTGATCGTCTCTCTTTCCTTTTACTGAGTCTACCAGAGGCCGGGGGAGGCACTGCCCCCCACCATATGCAATCAGAATCTAGCACAGCAGGGAAAGAGCCCAGTTACAGAACAGCAGTTGCTGCGGCAAAGGCAGGTAGAGTCCTTCTCAACCTGAGCCCAGGGCCACGTTTTCACACGGGCCGCACAGGGTGTCTGCGAGCGCTCCAGATCCACAGGGTTTGCAGACCTGGGTTGCTTAGATGTCCTAAGCCACTCACACACTTGGTCAGAACCACAGGGCTTTTAAATTGCTGCTTGTGTGTTTCTGCTTGTGAATCCATATGTGTGCATGGAGGGATGAATGCAGGCTCTGCTCGCTCACAGCTTGCTGGAAGAATTTACAGACATCCACAAATATCTAGATTTTGTGTGTGTGTGTGTGTGTGTGTGTGTGTGTTTGTGTGTGTGTGTGTATTTTTTTTTTTCACCTGGAAGTCTGCCTCGAAAAGATGGGAACTCTGATAACAGATTTTTTCAGAGAAATTGAAAGAACACATCACACATTTTTCCTCTGAAAACCACAAGGAACTTCTCATATGGTCAACGCATGGGAAAACAGGACGTTTCAGCCCCTCTGCTCGCTACCTGCTTCTCAGGCACAATACAATCAAGGAGACCAAGGCACCCCATTCCAGTAATAGCACCGTCAGTCACCTTGATTGAATAAACTTGGAGTTGAACTTTTCTTCTCTCCCAAGAAATGCTAACTGCAACCCCCTCTCAAGTGGTTACGAAGGAAAAAAATCAAATGATTTATTTAACTTTTGAAAAATACATCCTGCAAAACAAGTTTCTGAGAAGCCATAGTAACCGTGTTTAAGAGGATTTGGGGAATGTTATTAAAGACTTCCATGGGAAAGATTTTTGAGTGAATTGCAAGATCACAGCGCCGGAAGTTGAGCTGCAGATAACCGAATGAGACAACGTAGATACTCTGACCTCGGCAGTATGTTAGCTCATCGCCACTCTAGCAAATGCCAAGTGCACCAGAATAGATATTTCGAAGAGCCACACACTCTTTCTAAATGTAAACAGCATTTTTCAGACAGTCAAAAGATACCTCCCAGAGGTTTGTGCCTCCAGCAGAATAGAAAAGAGGAGAAAGCACCACTGCTGAGGTTTGCAGCCTCAGATTCATCTGTTGATACACTTCCCGCAAGCCCCTGATTTCTTTACAAGTATCTGTCTTAAGTTCCTCTGCAAATATTCTTGACAAAGGCCACAGTGAAAACGGTAGCTTACCTTGTCTAGGCATTGCTGACATCACACGTTCCCCCCACTCATGAGGCTCTCCGGCTTTGGTTGTCCCATGAAGTTAGAAACCATTAAAAACTGTACAACAGGGATGCGTGTTTATCATCCAAAGCTGCTTCAAAACAACACAGAAGATAACTTGATGAAAAATGAAGCGCTCGTCTGAGCATGAGAACGCGCTTGAAGCTCAGAGCTCATGCTGTTGGAAGAGGTTTTGCAACTGTCTCCCTCGGTTTCAACAACCTCCTGCTCCTCCCAGGCACTTGCCGGCTCCTGTAATTTAAAGCAACTGCGATCCTTCCCATAATACTCACATTTCAAAGAGCCCAGTCTATACTCTCGTTAGGAGTGGATAGGAGTGGGGGACGTGCCTCCGCAAATCCAGACGGAGGCAAAGGAGCAGCCAGGGTTTCAGGTATCGAAACGCATCTGTTTCCCTCTTTTACCCACGCATCTTCTCACCCTGTTCCTTCCAGTTGCTGTTGCTTTTTCAAGGGATGCCCTGAGAACGAATGGCATCCCTTCCCTGGGAGCAAAAAGGACACAGGAGAGGTTGTGTCCCAACCCAGGGAATGGTGATGCTGGTGAAATTGTGTTTACAGCTCTGTGCTATCACAATGATTTCCTGCAATGCTCCCCTGTTCAAAAATTTAAAATTAGCATACATTATATTTTCTCAAAAGGGGAAAACACCTAAACTGATGTTATTGGTCTTTTTTAACCTTCAGCCTGCTTACAAATCAACATCCCCAGAAAGGTTACTTGTTTTGTAGAGTTCATCCACGCAGCTGAATACTTTTTCTGACATTTAGTTGTAACTGGTGTTACCAGTTTTACTGAAATCACCCTTCCCTAACTGACATTAATCTCTCTCTCTCTCTCTCTCTCTCTCTCTCTCTCTCTCTCTCTCTCTCTCTCTCTCACACACACACACACACACACACACACACACACTTGTGAATTAAAATTATAGCCAACTTAAAGTGTGGTCAACTGAAATTAGTGATTTAAAAATTTTATAGTATATATTTTAATAATAATATCAAGCCAAAACCAGTTTGGCTCAGTGGATAGAGCGTCGGTCTGCAGACTGAAGGGTCCCAGATTTGATTCCGGTCAACGGCATGTACATTAGTTGTGGGCACATCCCCAGTGGGTGGTGTGCAGGATGCAGCTGGTCGATGTGTCTCTCTCATCGGTGTTTCTAGCTCTCTCTCCCTCTTCCTTCTTCTCTGTGAAAATTCAATAAAATATATTAAAAATAATTTCAACTACAATCTGCATTCAGTACTATTCTGCATCAGTCTCAGATGCACAGTGCAGTGGCCAGTCACACACTCTCTAGTGTGGTTCCCTACATGCCAAGCAGCCACCTGGCCCCATACATAAGTCTTTGCCATATTATTGACTATCTTCACTATGCTGTAATTTACATCTCTGTGACTATTCTGTAATTACCAATTTGTAATTCTTAATTCCTTCATCTTTTCTACCCAGGCCCCCAACCTCCTTCCCTTCTGTCAAATATTAATATGTTCTACTTTTTTATTTTATTCTTTAGGTTTAAATTGTATGGTGTTTGTCTTTCTATATTTTAAATTAGGGATTGCTGAGTACATGATAAAATAATAAGTGCTCAATAAACATTTACTGAATGAATAAAACAGAGCATAGGTTCAGATCAATCAACTGTTTTGACCATCTTGGTTTGCAGATACTGGTTCCCACCAGGCAAGGTTAATATGTCAAAGCTTCTACAGATAGCAAAGGTCAGATAATGTATGCCCTTGTTAGATTTAATGAATGGTTATAATATAATGAAATCCTCTAACTGACTATAGGAAAGATTTATTAAATAAATGAAACCATTTGGTGGAGAAAGTAAATGTTGACACAGACACAATCTATTAAGTATTCTCACTGTGTACCTTTATACAAATGAGTTATAGCATAAACAATCTTATTCATCAATTAAAAAGCTATACATTATTTTTCACTGTGATTTCTGAAGTCACCCAAAGTAACTATTATTCCATGGCCAAAGGATAACACTTCTGATTCAAAGAGTACAAAGAGAAAGAATCTCACACTACAGGGAGCGGTCAGGTTTCAGACTTAATGTGCTGTGAAAGCAGAGACAAAGGTGGAGCTGATTTTTGCTCTGGCTTCTCCTGGGGAGATGTCTGGAGACACAAACACACATATTGTCCTAGACAGGAATCCACCATGCTCCAGTTGTATGACCTCCGATGTGTAACTTCATTTCTATAAGTGTTGGTATTCTTAGTAGTGAAATATTGAATGGAGATATGTTCAAAAAACCTATTTACATATATACATAATATTGCACTTACTCAACAAATATTAATTAAGCACCTCATTGTGCATCTGGTATTTCAAAAGATCTATTTCTGAGTCACATGATGAACACTGCGATTGGTCATGGACATGGGATCCTGCTCTAACACTTACTCAACTCAATGGCATTGGCCTAATAGGAGGTGAGTGGTAAGGAAACTGAGACCAGAGGCTGGGAAGGTGAAACACATGTTTTGAGATGGTGAAACCATCAGTGAAACTGACATCTGTGACAACTTGGAAGGCCACCTGTGCCTCATAATAATATAGGTCTAGGAGAGGAGGATGGGGAAGAAAAAGTGGTGTGTTTGCTCCTATCAACAGCACGTGGCAAGGTCTTTCAAGAATGAGATGAGCCTAGAAAAGGAATGTTTAAATTATAACAAATAAAAGGGAACACAGAGATAGTATATACATTTGATGGCTTGCAGAAGCCTACTAAGTTTTGGCAGGACTTCCAATACTAAAATAACTATAAACCTGCACTAAATATGTCTTTCAAGAAGGAAGTGGATGGTTGCACAAAGGGTCAGCTCCTCAACACGCACCTCAGAGGTGGAGCAGGGAATCCTCTCAGGAGGAGGACCTGGTGGCCATAGAGATGATGGAAAGGGAGTTTCCCAGGAAGCAGAGCCAGTGCCCTATCCAGAACCTCCTCCTCCCATAGGGCAGTATGCCTCTACTGGCCTACCTGGCCACTCGAGGTATCCATGGTGGCTGTGTAGCTCTCATTCTGTCTTTACATTTTCTGAATGGGAATTTTTATTGTGGTTATCTTACCACTGTTGCACCATTTATATGGTGTGTGTGCATGTGGGCAAGAGAGAGAGAGAGAGAGAGAGAGAGAGAGAGAGAGAGAGAGAGAGAGAGAGAGAGAGATTGAGAGAGAGAGAGAGAGAGATTGAGAGAGAGAGATTGATAGAGAGAGAGATTGATAGAGAGAGAGATTGAGAGAGAGAGATTGAGAGAGATTGAGAGAAAGAGAGAGAGAGAGAGAGAGAGAGAGAGAGAGAGAGAGAGAGAGAACTTGTCCTCTGTTTTATACTTTCTTTTCCTTCTAGTTCATAGGTCTCTGGATCAAGAGATGCCAAATCAGACTTAAAGGAAAACTCCACATTGCCCAGAACTACACTTTGAGCTGCTTGGAGCCACTGCCTGGACCTGACATTGTTTCCTTTGGGGAGAGATCATTGTGCTCTGTGTTTTGGAAAGAGGGGAGGAGATAGATATTTGGTGGCCAGAAGAGTAAATTACAACAGGTCCTTTTTGTGTTTACTGATGTCTACATTGTCCTCAGCATTTCCCAGCTTCTCTAGCAGTTCAGTTGACCTTGTGACTGATTTCTGGCCAATGGGATGTAATCAGAAGCTATATAGGGTTAATTCTGGGCTGAGGGAGTGAGGAACTGGTATATCCACTTCACCTTCTTTCTCTCTCCCCTGTTCACGTGGCAAGCGGCAAAAAGAGGTGTTGGAGCCCCATAGTAGAAGGAACCCCAAACTCTGAGGGACAAGAATCAGACATTATTTACCAACATACAAACTTATATTGTGTCCCTCCACTGAGTGTGGGGGTGTATTTGTCACAGATAACTAAGTCAATTATTCCACTATTGATAGCTATCTGAAATGATTCTTGGAAGATTAAATTATATAGAAAGAATGCAGAATGAACCCAACACAATAAGTGCTCAAAAATGGTAGTTATTTTTATACTAACCATAAATTCCAACTTTTCTTTTTTGCTATAGTACTTCTATAAATTTAAGGTTTATAAATTGTGTGCTACCCGACTAAGTAAAATTGAAACCATGGAAAGATTAGTGACAAAAATAGCTGTCGAAAGCAAAATTTATTTCCCATCTATAAAAAATAAATGCATTTGTTACAAAAATTGTCCAAAGGGTTACTGTCAAATTTTACAAGTAACCTGCAAAGCAGGGGCTAAAGGAAGTTATAAACTTCAAAGTCCAAGTGAAGTACTTTCCTTAGCATTTAATGAGTGTAAACTCCACTTATCCAAATGTTTGTTGCACTGTGTGTACAGAAGAAGGCATGGTATTGACATTGACTGGTCCAAGCTGCTCAGTACAAATGTGGTAAACATCTCATTAATACTAGCTGAGCACTATTTTTTCTAAAAATTATCCTTTATTCAGACTCTGTTTTTCCTACTGGCTTTGAACTGCTCTAAACAGAGATATAGAAGGTTCTAGTTCATACATTTTGTTTCTATCTCAGGTATTTTGGGCACTTCTTACTAGAAATATGGCTTCCTTCATTCAACAAACTCTTTTAAAGGGTTCAGACCCTTTTTTCTTCTACCAGTTTAAAGCAACAATGATAATAATTACAAACATTTATTGAGCATGAGCTATGTATTAAGCACGATTTTATATGCTGTGTAAATATATTAACTATTTTATCTTTTCAACAATCCAATCAGGTAGACACTAACACTATCATGATTTTACAGATGGGGAATCTGAAGCACAGAGAGGTTAAGGGACTAGCACAAGGTCACACAGCCAGTAAGTAGCAAAGCTGGGATATATGCATAGTTTGTGTGGTTCTAGTACGTGAACAGTTAAAAGGTGGTTAAAACATGTTCTCCTTGCCAAATGAAGAGAACATGCTTACACCATGTATTTTC